GCTGAACCCAGGCCCAGGGCTCAGGCAGGCCCTTCACAGCAGGGAGCCCTGCAGGTTGATGAGCAGAAGCAGCATTTTCAAGTCACAGGTCTCGGAGAGGCAGGCCGATGTGAGAGGAGGCTGCCATCCAGAAGGACTGCGAGAGGCAGAGGGAGGAAAGAGAAGCCCGCGCCCCCCCGGGGCCGTGGGGAGTGCACAGAGGCAGGCTGGGTGACTGCAGCCCCTCTGCTCCCACCTCCTGCTCCCCACAGGTGAAGCAGAACCTGCTCAGCGTCTCCTACCACATCGCCCAGTACACCAGCATCATCGCTGACCTGCGGGGAGAGATCCAGCGGCTCAAATGCAAGATTGACCAGCAGGCCGGGCGGGGCCAGGCCCAGGGCCAGCTGGGGAGGGGTGACATCCGCCACATCCAAGGTGTGCCCCGGGCAGCAGCCCTCCACCAGGTTGTCTCTCCCTGCTCTGGGGACAAGCAGGGCTGGGTTCATCCAAACCCTGACTCTTTCTGGCTGGGTAGGCTTGGGCTAGGCACTCAACCTCTCTGAACCATCTAGCCTTCCCCTTTAAATTAAGATCACCATCTCTGCTTCAGAGAGTCGGACATTAGGTAGGATCACACAACTTAACACTGGAGGTGGCCACTGTGGTGCTATGGGGACATGTCTGCCACCACTGGAAGGGGCACATTCCCTCGTAGACTTGTGTGTTTGCTATGATGGTTTTCCAACATGGCAGTGACGTGTAGGGTCACCTGTGTGTAGCTGACACACAGGTGCTTGGCGCTAGCAAAATCCAGTTCATATGGAGGAGCTAGGGTCACCTTTGGGCCACAGCCTAACTGCACCCTGTGGGAGTGTATCGAGGGAGGATAAGGTAATCCAGGAGGTCTTCCTGCAGGAAGCGGCTGCACAGGACGTGGGGGCAATGCTTTGGGAAGAAAGTGTGGAGAGGGCCCTGGGTGGGCACAGACCTTATTGGTTTGAGCCTGTCCCCTCCACTGACCTCCCCACCTGCCACCGAGCAGCCGAGGTCCAGCTGCACAGGGGGCAGGGCGAGCAGGACCAGATGGGGCCGCTGCGGGAGCAGCTCATCAGCGCTTTCCAGGAGCAGATGGATGTGCGCAGGCGCCTGCTGGAGCTGGAGAACCAAGCCATGGAGGTCCAGATCGAGACCTCCCGCCACCTGCTCACCATTGCCGGGTAAGCACCGCCCACACAGCCTCCAGGTCCCGCCCCTGGCCTGGGAGGGAGGAGCTGGGGTGGTAGGCGCACACTGTCCCCAGGCCTGACCCCCGTGTCTTCCTGGGGGTGGGGCTGTGACAGCTGGGAGCACGAGAACTCCCGGCGGGCCCTCAAGTGGCGGGAGGAGCAGAGGAAGGAGTCCTACACTAAGGACGACAGCGAGAAGGACTCAGACACCGGCGATGACCAGCTGGACATCTTGGAACCACCTGAGGTGGCCTCGGCCCGGGAGAGCATCGCGGCCCTGATGGGCAAGCAGAAGCAGCTCCACAAGGAGAAGGTGTCTGGGGAGGGGAGGAGAGTGGGTTTAAGAGGCAGGTGAGGAGGGAGACCTAGGAGGTCAGACCACAAATGCTGGGTGACATTGCTAAACTCTTCAACCTCTCTGTGCTTCACACTCCTCATCTTTCAGTGGGAGCAGTCATGATGCAGCCCTCGCTGGGCCGTTGGAGAGATTAAAGTCAATGCCTGGCACACACCAGAGAGTCAAGATCGGGGCTTTCCCGTAACAGGAGCCTCTGTTCTGGGGTTACCCAAACTAGGGGAGGGACTTCAGGGTATAATGAGACCTGGGGGCTGGGGCTCAGCAACTAGTTATCCACCTGGCTCCAGGGTTGGGTGGGTGGTTGGGGCGCAAGAAAGTGCGCAGAGACCGTGTTGGAGCAGCCCCTGGTTGCAGGCCCAAGATACCCCTTCTGAGGGTTGGCCTCGCAGGGTGCCCTGCCCCATTCCTGGAGTTCGGAGGCTGGAGGGGCGAGGACAGGTTGGGCAGGCGGGCGCTGCCTGGTGCTGATCGCCCGCTGCCCGCAGCTGGCGCTGGAGCAGCGCTGCCGGGAGCTGCGTGCGCGGGGCCGGCGCCTGGAGGAGACGCTGCCGCGGCGCATCGGCTCGGAAGAGCAGCGCGAGGTGCTGAGCCTGCTGTGCCGCGTGCACGAGCTCCAGGTGGAGAACACAGAGATGCAGTCGCACGCGCTGCTCCGCGACGGGGCGCTGCGCCACCGCCTGGAGCAGCACCGCAGCCTCTGCGACGAGATCATCCAGGGTCAGCGGCAGATCATCGACGGTAGGGCCCGCGCCCCGCGTGTCCGCCCCACTGGTGGAGGGCCCGCAGGCCCGCGCTGAGCCCTGCCCTCCCCTGCAGACTACAACCTGGCTGTCCCCCAACACCTGGAGGAGCTCTACGAAGTGTACCTGCGGGAGCTGGAGGAGGGCAGCCTGGAGCGGGCCACCATCATGGACCGCGTTGCCTCCAGGGCCCTGCAGGTGGGCGCCTGGGCGCGTGAGCATGTGGTGAGGGAGGGGCTGCCGCCCAGGGCAAGGCCTGGAGAGTGGGTGGCACCAGGCTATCTGGCACCCCAAGGAGGTGACTTCTTTCTTACTCCACCCAAGCTTTGCCAAGCCTGAGTAAGGTCCCCACCCCTGGGCATTCCACGCTGACGCCTGTCCCTACCCAGGGTCTGAGGGCCAGGATAGGCCACCTGAGATATCCTGAATGGCCCCAGATGCCCTCCGAAGAGACCAGGCCACCAGCAGCACCACTAAAAAGCTAAAACCTGGCCGACCACAGCTTGGCCCCGAGGATCCAGAGCCCAAGGCCTCCCAGCCTAGGTTACAGGCCGTGTCCTCTGTGTGCTCTGTCACCTGCCCCAGGACCAAGTCTCCTGACGGTCTGCCCCTGCTCTTTCCTTCCCCAGGACAGTTCCTTGCCCAAAATCGCCCCAGCAGGAGCCACACTGACCCCAGACTCTGACCTGGAGAGCGTGACGACGCTGAGCTCTGAGGCTCAGCACCTGCAGGGCAGCACACTCCCGGCCCTGGGGACGGACAGGTGAGGCAGCCTGCTGCCAGCCACCTGCTGTGTCCTGTCTGGGATGCCACGCTGATCCGTGCTGAGTGGGAAGATGAACTAGAATGAAAGGGAGGAAGTGGCACAGGCCTGGAGCTGGGACTCCCGGGTTCTCTGTCCCTTTGGGCCAGCAGCTTCTCCCTGGGGTGGGCTGGGATGTCATAGCCACCCCATCCTCTCTGTCAACTTCAGTGACGCCCGCCACATGTTCAAGGCCAGTTCCCGGGCCTGGCAGGTGAAGAGCTCCTCTGTGCCCACCCCGCCTCCCATCCAGGGTGGCAGCCTGGTGACCCAGGAGGTGAGTTCTGGGCACCTGTTAGCTCCAGGAGCTCTACTGCTGGGGTGGGGGCTCAGGGGTGGGTACCCAGCCAACAGTCTTTGCAAAGCGGCCACCACCTCTGAGACCCTGCAGCCCTGCTGAGTGGGGCATGGGGTCCCTGTTCAAGGCCTTCCTTTTCCCAACCACTTCACCCCCAGGCCCTGCCTCCAGACAGCCTGGGTAGCCATATCACCTCTTCCCCAGACAGCAGCGAGAACCTGTCAGAGATCCTCTTGTCCCACAAAGGTGAGCTGCCCCCTGCCTGCCCTGCCTGGCACCCTCTAAATTGCTCGGCTCGGGGGTGGGAATGTGGCAGTGGAAGAGTGCACAGGCCCTGGGTGCAGTCTCCAGCATGGTGACTCACACCTGTAATCCCAGCCACTCAGGAGGCTGAGGCAGAAGGATTGCAAGTTCAAGGCCAGCCTCAGCAATTTAGCAAGGCTCTAAGCAACTTAGCAAGACCCTGTCTCAAAAAATAAAACGGGCTGGGGATGTGGCTCAGTGGTAAAGCACCTCTGGGTGTTTTAATCAATCACCAGTACAAAAAAAAAAAAAATGATCAGTTCACCCAGCCCAAAGCCCTGTCTTGTTCTCTGCCCTGCTGAATGAGCCCATGCATTGAATGCTGCCACTCTATAGAGACACGAGTGCCACCTGCTCAAGGACACATAGAGATGATGGCACAATCAGAAACTGAAATGGGGACACCTGCACTTTGAATCATGCCCCCCCTGCCCACTCAGTGATCATTCTCTGTTGATCGTCTAAATAAGCCTGTGGGGTTAGTTTCCCATGCCATTTACAGATGAGTGTGTCTTAGCCAGCAAGCCAGGAGTCCTGTTTCCTGCTCATTTCTGCCAGGCAGAGACGGGGTGTAGAGTGGCCCTGACCCCATGTCCTGTGCTGCAGAGAGGAAAGAAATCCTGACTGGTACCAAGTGCATCTCGGTGAAAGCTGCCCGGCGGCGCTCTCGGGCCCTGGGCACGGAGGGGTGCCACCTGCTGGCGCCTGCCATGGAGCGCAGCAGCCTGTCCCTGCACTCTCTGAGCGAGGCTGACAATGCCCGGCCACCAGGCCCACTGGCATGCAAGCGGCCACCCAGCCCCACGCTGCAGCACGCTGCCAGCGAGGAGAACCTGTCCAGCAGCACAGGAGAGACCCCATCTCAGGCGGTTGGGCATCGAGGTGGCGGCCCTGGGTTCTGGCTGCGCGGCCAGAAGAAAAGCCCAGGCAAGAAAAGGGAGGAGTCCCTGGAGGCGAAGAGGAGGAAGCGGAGGTCCCGGTCCTTCGAGGTCACAGGGCAAGGGGTGAGGTGTCTGGGTACCTTCCTTGTGGGTGGTAGCTCAGGGCTGGCTTCTTGCAGAGCCCCAGGGCACCTCCAGCCCTGCACACCCTCGGCTCCGCCCTCCACAAGGCCTCTGTCCCAGGCTGGCCCAGGAGCCAGGCAGAGCCCTGTGTCAGACCCTCAGGCAGTGCCTGGCCTCACCTCACTGTTCCCAACCACCACAGCTCTCCCGCCCCAAGACACACCTCCTGGGGCCCCGGCCCTCAGACAGCACCTCGGACCACAAGACGCCAGTGGGTGGGCACCCAAGCCCTGGTGTCAGGCACCTGGGAAAGGTCACGCTGCCTTTGGCCAAAGTCAAACTCCCCACAGGCCAGAACACAGGTCAGTACCCTCAAGGGAGGGAATGGGGAAGGGGAGGCCTTGCCAGCCCAGGAAGAGGCATGTCAAGGTCCCTGTCCCTAGGACTGGCCCTGACTGGAAGCATGCTTCTTGACAAACATCATAGGACTAGCAACTTGGGCTACCCTAGGGAGCCCAAGGCCACAGGGCAATGGGGGAGCAGATGGCAGGGCATTTCTCAACTACTGACCCTGGCCCTTCCCTCTTGTAGGCGCTGGAGACCCCTCAGCCCTTACTGTCCCCCCCAACCCAGCTGGAGTTTCCCGAAGGGTTACTCGTGGGCCCCACCTGCACCACGGGTCAAGCACGCATGGCAAAGATGGACGCTTCCGGCACAACTGAGGGGTCCTGCCTGGAACCAGCTATTCTGCCCCCAAGGCTGAATGGGGGGTGTAGCAGGGAAGGGGAAATGGACCCTGGGCATTGGGGATCATCAGGTGGAGCAGGAGCTCAGAAGGTTGGGGCTCCTGAGACCCAAGAGTTGTGGGGGTGTCTGCGCAGCCTTCCATGCTTCCAGTGCCACAGGGAAGGGAGGCGAGCCCAGGAGGCCCCCCAGCCCTGCTCAGAACACTGTTGCCAAAACCCTGCACACACCTGGGTTAGTCTTGGCCTTGGCGATGGGGGAGGGGAACTGTAGTGGGATGGGCTCCTGGGGCCACACCTGGGGCCAGGGCATTTGGGTGGTTGGGGAGGGCCTGATAGGTACTTCACGGGCGATGGCTGGGGGTGGGGAGGGAATCTGGTTTTGTTACTTGGATATGGCTTTTTTTTTCCTCCTTCCTTTTTTAACAATAAAATCCCGTTTGGTTTGATGGTTGAGTTGCAAACTAGACCTTATCTGAATGTCGCGTGGGCTCTGTGGTGGGGTCCAGAGGTGGGGCGGAGTCAGGACGAGGTCACTCCAACCCCAACTCTGAGGGAGGGAGAGCTTTGTGGTCAGCCGGATGCCGGTTCAGCCAGCTTCTCTCCCCCTCCAACACTGCATCTCCTCCTGGCTGGCTGCAAAGACACTGCGGAGGAAGGGGCATTTCTCCAGATCCCATGCCCCCTCCCAGGAGAGAGAGGTGCAGGACTTGGAGTGGCCAGGCTCAGAAGGCCTCACCACTCAGATGAGGTGGCTGCTGCTGGAGATCAGGGTTCAGAATTGCCTGGCTAAACCCCACAGGTCAAGGTGGGCTGGCAGGTGGCCCTGAGCATTTGAATGCTCTTACCTGACCTGTTCCATGGGAGAGAGGGGGAGCTCAGAGAGAAACTCAATGAAGGGCAGGGGGATCCCCAGGCTTGCGACTATCCCTGGGTGGCTTTTACCCAGGGGTGGGTGGTTCAATCATCCCTTCACCTCTCTGGGCATCCATTTATTCAGGGCCAAGCACTGCCTACATGTGAAACCGCTGCTAAAGCCGGACATCTGGTCTACCACCGCTCACCTGGTCTCCATCCAGCCCAGCGTCGCCAGTGCCTGATCGCCCAGGGCCCAGGCTGGCAGTCATCTCTACACTGGCCTTGTCCCTCCCAGACCCTGGTGCCCTCTAGGCAAGATTTTTATTTCCCAATCCGGAGGCTACTTGGGGGTCCGGATGAGGGTGTGGTACACAGGCTTGACGATGAGGTGCAGATGCAGGGCGTTCTCCACCAGGTACTCGGAGTTGCGCCGCTGCAGATCGGCGTGCGCCAGGAAGTCTCCCGCCTCCTCGCTGCTCTGGTGGAAGCTGTAGGCGTGGCGCACCAGCAGGCGGCCCTGCTGGCGCGCCCCCACCAGCACCGTCTTTTGGAAGCTCACTCCCGCAGCGTCGCCGCCGCTGCTGGCCGGCGTGACCACAAGCCTTGGACGGCCGTCCTCTGGGCGCGCCGCGGGCAGCGCGGTACCCGCAGCGTCCGCGTAGACGGGCCGCAAGCTGACGGGCAGCCAGCGCGGCGAGAAGAGCACGTTCCATGTGATCCGGCGGCCGGCGTCGTGGCCGCTCGGGCCCAGCTGTGTCTGGAAGCTGGTGCTGCGGTCGTCGCGGGCCGGGTTATTGATGACCCACGGGGCGCCCCAGGCGGGCGCGAGGTAGTTGCGGGGCAGGAAGGCGCTACCGTTGACGTCGAAGAACTTGGCGTAGTGCAGCGGCGAGGCGGCGTGGAACTGGTAGGCCTGCAGCAGGAGGTCCGCCACCGCCAGGCCGTGCCGCGCCAGGACCGCTGAGCGCGCCTGCAGCTGGAACAGCTGCGCCGGCGGGATCATGGGGTATCGGATGGCGCGCAGCGCCCGCTCTGCCACGGCGGGGGGCGGCCGCGCGCGGCCCAGCCACACCTCCAGCGCGTGGAACAGCTCCAGTTCGTCCTGCAGCACCAGGTCCGAGCGCTGCAGCAGCTGCGCCAGCAGCTCGGGGCTCACGGAGCTCCACTCGGCGCTGCCTGCCACGGCAGACAGGTTCCAGGCCAGGAACTGCAGGCAGCTCTCACGCAGGGCCTCGTCCCCCGTGCTCACTGCGTAGTGGTACCAGCCCACCGCAGGGCCTGCGCCTCCTGCCAGGTGTGCGCGCATGTAGTCGGCCACGCCTCGCTGTAGGGAGGCCACCCGGTACTTGGTGGCCAGCTTATGCAGTGGAATGGCCTGAGCAAGCAGTATCGTCAGCTCTCCGCAATACAGGTACCTGCCGGAGAGGTCCAGAGGTGGGGCAGAGTCAGAACCAGGTCACTCCAACCCCAACTCTGATGGAGAGCTTTGTGGTCAGGGGCGCAGTCCGAGGGGAATTGGGCCCTGACACTTCCCTCTTAAGGACCTTTCCACACTGTTCCCACTTGACAGCCTCTTCTCTCGGTTTCTGGTGGTGAGGTGGAAATCACGTGTGTTCCTTGAACATGTACTGGGGACCTAACTGTGGCTAGAACAAATGCAGAGAGGTTCCTGCCGCTGTGGAGTTTGTAGTCTGGGTTCAGAGCCATGTCCTACCACCTCCTTGCCATGAGACTGGGCAAATCGTTTAACTTCCATGAACTTTGGAATCATCTAGGAAAGGGGGAACAGTATGCACCCCTTAGGGTTATGGAGTCAATGGGGGGACTGAAGAATCTTGCTACTAAGTCGGCAGTCAACACAGCTTCCTTCCTGGCCCCCCTACCTTTTCTTCTCAGTCTGCCACTGTGCCCCTGCTCACTGGGACGCAACGCACTTGGCTCTATAGGAGCCCTTCCGTTTTATCCCCCTTCCTGGAACTTGGAAGTGATGTCCAGAATCCTGCAGCTGTCTTGTCTAAGCCATTAGAACTGGAATACTTCCTTAGACCATAGTGTGAATGGTTTCCCCTGTGCAGCACACTGGCAGGAAGCGGGAGCTGGTTGACCTTTCTGCTCCCTAGCACCATGGTTCCAAACCTGAGCAGACCCAACACGACACAGATTGCTTGTCCCAGCCAGTAGACCTGAAATTGACTGTCCAGGCTCAGGAATCTGTGGGGGTTTTGTGTTTTGTTTTGATTTGATTTTGTTACTGGGGATTGAACTCAGGGGCACTCAACCACTGAGCCACATCCCAGCCCTTTTTTTTGGTATTTTACTTAGAGACAGGTCTCACTGAGTTGCTTAGCGCCTCCCTTCCTGTTGCTGAGGCTGGCTTTGAACTCCTGATGCTCCTGCTGCAGCCTCCTAAGCTGCTGGGATTTTAGGTGTGTGCCACTGCGCCTGGCTAGGAGTCTGTGGTTTCTAAAAGCTCTGCTGGCCATGTTAGGAAACAGCTCTGCAGGGTTGCCAGGGGCAGGCAGTGATAGCAAACCAAGCAGAGCCACAGGGGAAGTGAAGGCCGAGCGCCACAGTGCTGTGTGGGAGAGGGAGGGGGAGAAGGGGCCAAAGGTGGCGCCTTGCTGTCCTGATGACATCAGGCAACGGGCGTCATGACCTCTAAGGGCCTGGACCCCCGTGGCCCTGTGGGTGGAGGAGCCAGGGCTGGGAAGAGATGAAGGCCCATCCATCCTGCCCCACCTGATGAACTTGTCGAAGACGGCGGCGCAGTCCCGGGGCTCCCGCAGCATGGCCTCGCTCTGGTTGCTCAGCAGCTCCCTGAACAGCTCGCTGTGCAGCCCCAGCAGCAGGCGGTGGGCGTGGAAGACGCGGACCTCGTCGGTGCCCGCAGCCTGCACGCGCAGAACCACGTCGCTGGCGTTGCCCTGGTGCAGCAGCTCCTGCAGGCGGTGGAGCAGCATCTGGGAGTGGTTGATGGAGGTGCCCGCTGCCTCCCCGCCCGCATCGGATCTCTGGGCTGCAGCAGAAGGGACAGGGCACGGCCTGAGAAGGCACCCGCACCCAGGGCCTCGATCAAGGGGTGCAGAGGACCAGCTGGAGACACGCACGCATGGGTGTTGGGGAGGGCAGGAGGGCCTCGGATGGCTGTGTGGGCACCCCCGAGGTGCCCACGAGAAGAGCGGGTACCCGCGGCAGTCTAGGTGGGCAGGTCTTACAGACGCAGACCTGAGAGGATGCTCTTTTAAGGGGGGCGGGTTCTAGGCCGGGAGCAGTAGGGACCCTCTGGGATCTCCATGTGCTGGTGTCCACGATGCCAGGCCCCCAGGAGAGGGTTGAAGAAACTTGGCTCCTATGCTGCCTGTCTCTGAGCAGTTGTCCACCCTGCCCCTCCGAGGAGTCGTCAGAGGGGCACGTACACGGGCAGATATTGAGCACTTATTATGTGCCCGGCACTCTCCCAAGAGCTTGGACTACGGCAGTGGATAAAAGAAGCCGACTCCCGTGGGGTGCCTGGCGTGCAGGGGACGGTGAGTGGGAGGAGGGGTCAAGCAAGAGCCCCTGCAGCCAGCAAGGAGGGAAAGCGTTTCCGGGCCTGGCCCTGCCCTGGAGTTCTGATCTGTGAGGCAGAGGGAGGACAGGAGAAAGTCCCAGGGGCCGGCTGGATCTGGGCAGGGCCCTGTGGGTCACTGGCTGGCACCCCCTCCAGGCTGGCCCCTGGGCTCCTCCTGTCTTGCTCCCATGGACGCTGGGGCAGTCGGATGGAGACCTGCACTCAGTTACAGAGAGCCCATTGACAGGGACGCTGCTGGCAGCCTCCCCCAGCTGAGAGCAGCACAAGGAGGCTTGCAGAAGGAGCCAGGAGGGTGACTGGCAGCAGCAGATGGCCCAGGCACACGCACACGCAGGCACTCGTGGGGAGAAGGCTCACCCAGACTGGAGCATCTCTGTGTGAGAGGCCCGGAGAAAGCGAGGGAGAGAAGCTGGGCGTGCATTTCCCAGCCCCGCCTCCCCAGCTGTCACTCTGAGGGGCCTGAATGCTAATGGCGTCCCCATTCAGCCTCTGCCCAGGCCCAGCTGCCTGGGACAATGAACAAGGGAGGGTCTTTTTGTCCTTAAGACCCCTGCCTGCTGCCCAGCCCCTTCTCTCTGAGGCTGGCTGCCCTTCTCCCTTCTGGGAGATGTCTGTGGACCTGTCCAGTCCATCCTGAATGGCCAGACACCACCCACTCCCGGGCAGCTGCTAGCAGTTAGGGCCAGAAGGGCCTGCCCCTGCACCCTGGCCCACACCCACCCACCCACAAGCCCCCTCACCTGCATGAGTGGCCAGGCCCACCAAGGTCAGCATGGTCCAGAAGCTGCCCCAGGACCCAGACTTGCAGTGGCCCATCCTAAACATCTTTGTGCTCCGCCCCTGGTTCCACTGAAGGGACACTGAAGTCCAAGCCACTCTGATCAATTGCATCCCTCCTGCTTATATAGGATCCAGCACGGGGGCACAACACCCCCCTTTCTGCCTGGCCTCCCTCCCCCCACCCAGCTTCTGCCATGGATTGGTGGAAACTGGCCCCTGCTGTTGCCCAGGCAACCACTTAAGCCAGAGAGTGGCAGCCACAGGGACTATTGTGCTGCCCTGGGCCCCCAAGGGGAACAGATCCGGACCCCCCTCCCCCACTTCTCCTCATGACCCCGCCAGGCTGGCCCTTCTTCTCCCAGAAAGTTTTAGGCCTCCTGAAGGGCAATCCAGGAGCTCCGGACCACGGGCAGCCACCAGCCCCAGGGTCCCCAGCCCCTGTCCCAAACCCCAGGCCCAGCCTCCACCCTGGCACAGGGCACGCCTGGCAGCACACGCTGAGGCACCATGACCAGCGGAGAGCAAAGGGAAGGCTGGAGGAGACGAGGGAAGAGGTGGCTCAGGCTCCCATCCCCTGCTCCCACCTGGGGTGGGCTGACTCTCCAGAGAGGAGGACAAGACTCTCCAGTAGGGGTCCCTGGGGTAACCGGGATCATTCTCTTGTTCTTTGTTGGAAAAAGTTGCTGGCTTGCTCTGGAGTGGGCAACGGGCCGATAGGAGAGATCCTCCCTAGGGACGGTGGCCACCCCCCCACACCAGGGTCACAGTGAGCCCTGGTGTCAGGGCTGGCATAGAGCCACACACCCCCCTCCGTGCTATAGCGCATGAGGAGCACCCCTGCCCGGCGCAGGGCTGGGCCCCTCCCAGGGCGGGCGCCGGTCCACCCCTCTTCTTTCTTTCTTCAGTTCTCCTCCCCACGTAGCCCGCTCTCAGGATTCCTTCTTTGAAGCCTTCTTCCACCAGTTTCTAGTTTGCAGCTGCAACCTCTCCCTTCCCCACATTCCAAGGAGACACGCAGTGCCCCAGGCCACCACAGGGAAACTGAGGCGGAGAGCAAGGCAGCAGCCCCAGCTGGGAAGTGCAGCGGATGCTCTTCTAGAAAGAGGCAATGGAGAGGGGCCGTCAGAGCCAGGGAGCTAGTGCGGGCGGCGCTAGCCAGGCCTCACCTTTGCATGGAGGGAGCAGGGCCTGCCCCAGCTCCGCCAGGGAGGGACTTCACTGAGGTTGATGAACAGAAGTGGGGGGCTCCCAGGAAATCCCACCGAGTTCCTCCGAGGCCGGGTCCTGGATTAAGGACGGGCTGGAGCGTCCCTGCCCATGCTCTCTGGATCCCAGGGCTCTGCTTGATGCATTGATTTCTGCCCCCGCCGGTGCACAGAGACCCAACAGCCCACTCCCTCCCTCTCTGGAGCCACAAAGAAAGCAAGAATTGGGTCTGGCACCAGCTTCATCCGGGTTGGCAGAGTCAGAGCTGTCCTGCTCAGCGGAAACCCCTCCCAGCTGCCCCCACTCTCACGCCTGATCCCCCTCCTCCAGATCCACCATCCCTTGCCCACTGGCTGCCCGCCTGCCCTTCCTGTGGGCTGCACCATGTCCTGGCTCAACCCAGCAAGTCAGAGCCTCTGTGCAACAGGGCAGCTCAGGCCCCAGAGGCACCCCAGCTTCTGCACATAACGCTTGCCAATGGGAGCGCAGCTGATCAGAGACCCCAACGCCCAGCAAACTGTCACTCAGGAGACACATCTCTGAACACCAGCTGCCAATCACTCTTGAGGAGCAGCTCACCTGCTCTGGAGTTTCTGGTGCTCACCTAGAGAGAGATTCCCAGGAGCAGGCCTGGACTAAATACCCCAGATGATCACTCTGCACACCCCAAGCTAAAAACCTACCTAGCTGTTTGAGTTAGATGGGTGGCATTTTAAGTGTGAAGGGGAACCAGGCATGGTGGCCCACATCTCTAATACCAGTGACTCAGGAGGCTGAGGCAGGAGGATTGCAAGTTCCAAAGCCAGCCTCAGCTCTTTAGGGAGACTCTCTGCAACTTAGTGAGACCCTGTCTAAAAATAAAAAATAAAAAGGGCTGGGGATGTAGCTTGGTGGTAAAGCACCCCTGGGTTCAACCCCCAGTACCAAAAAGCAGAAAAAATAAAGTTCCCTGAGACTAGTGTGTCGTCTTGTCTAACCTGAGTGACTCATCTGAACTCAGCAGGAGCTAGTCGATCCAGGATTCAAGTGTCACCAAGTTCTGCTTGGCTTTGCTTTGCACAAACCCATGACTTCTTTTCTGGGTGGTATCTCAGTCCTGATGAAAGGGCCCCCATTGGACAAGGTGTCTCCAGTGCCATAGAAACAACTGGAAATGTTCATAAGCCTGGGAAGGAGGAGGCGTTCTGGATCTGCACAGGGGGTGATGGGGCCCTGGGCTGCAGGAACATGAAGCCCTGCCCTGACCCACAGCCTCCCTTACATCTGTAATGTCCCTGTCCTGGGTTAGGGTTCTAGGAGCGAGTTGGATGCTTCACTTGGAAAGAGGGTCTCCAGGCCCCATGTATCCAGGGGCGCCCTCCAAAGATCTACCGGGAGGAATCTTTCCCTGAAATAACTCCCAAGCTGTTGGAAGCTGTTCCCCCAAGAGGGTGTCCTCCGGCTCTGAGCACTGTCCTCTGATCCATGCTGGCCATGAAGCTTGAGTCTACATGGTCTCTCATTTCCCAAGAAGGTTGTGTGAGCAGTAAAAAGCAAATAGCCCTGGAGAAGGCAGAGGGAAGAACAAACCCGAGTTCAAATCCCGCTGCTGTGTGCCAGCTCTGTGACCCTGGCCTATTGCTTAACTTCTCTGAGCCTCAGTCTCCTCTTGGGTAAATCCGGTAACCTCCTTGCCCTCCAACTGGGTTGGTCTTTCCCACTCCTTGAAGCAGGGTCAGTGCCTGTACTCACTCCTGGCCTCACGGGCAGGGAGGTGGTGGACGGGAGGAGCTGTCTGTCCTTCTGTCCTTTCCGGGGCTGGGGTTCCAACACTCCCCCCTGGACCTGGCCTCAGCCAGCCAGCATGCCTGGCCCAAGCCAGCTGGGTCTCCCGGACTTGCAGGATCAGGGTGTGGCCACCAGGAGGCAGCAAGGCCTTGGCTGTGAGCACCAGGGTGGGCGTCGGGGTCAGGGTAGGTTCGCTGCAGCCCAGAGACGCGGGATCTGACTTAGGAGCCGGGGATGCCCCGACATTCCCTGGATGTGAGAAGGGATGCAGGCTGGGTCTCAGCTCTGCTCCCCTGGAGCCCCCTGGATGCCGTGTCCTGGTGTCCACAGTGGGCTGCCCTGATCACCCTTTCCCAGGTGAGGGAGCTTGCAGGTGTAGGGCCACCAGCGTTGGCTGCTATTTCCTGATATTCTCGAGGCCGCTCCATTCCACCAGGGTGGGAAGACAGTGGCCTGCAGGGCCACCGTCCCTGGTTTCCCAGCACCGACGGCAGCCTGGCCAGGCTTCTCCCAGGGCGGCCACCCCTGCACAGGGCTTCCTGCTCTCCTCCCTCCCTCCCCACCCCTGGGGCATCCTGCACCCCAGCCCAGCCTCTGCTCACGCTGCCGTCTGACCCCCATGAACTTGGTCCCTGGGACTCTCAGGGGATCTGAGCTCTGCCACCCCCACCTGGCACTGCTCCCCCAGCTCCTCAGCAGGAGTGCTCCCCTCGCTCCCACAAGGGCCTTTCCGTGGCCTGGGTCCTTCACCTCCCCCACAGTCCTCACCTCCTTGGTGGGGCCGCCCACGTAAGCAGGCCGTTCTGCCCTGGAGCACGAGGCAGCCAGTCCAGGACCAGATCCTCCTTCCTGCAGATTCCTTTCCTTTCCTAGGCGACCCGCACCCCATTCGGGTGCCAGGCTGGCCCTCTTTACCCCCCCACCCAGCGGGCTCCCTTCCCTGCCTGTGCACTGCGGGAGTCCCTGCCGTGCTCCCGTGGGATCCACCAAGCTGCCCTGGGCTTCGCCCCACCCCTGCCTCCTCCTCCCTCCTCCCGCCACCCCCACTCTGCAGGCTGACAGGCTCCAGCCGCTGGAAGAGCTGGAGGAACCGTGGGGCCAACACTGCTGGAGAGCTGGGCTGAAGGGCCAACACTGCTGGAGAGCTGCTGGTGATGCAGGCAGGGAGCTGTGGAGACTCCCCAGGAAAAGCCCCTGGTGACCTGGGGGCTGGGATCCTGGAGCATGGGACTTGAGGAACCAGAGACAGGTAAATGGTTGAGGGGTGGAAGGTGGAGGGCAGGTGAGGGACCCTGAGGCTGGGGTGGGGCAGCGGAAGCTCAAATGAGTGGGCAGTGAGAGGGGGGAACGAGGTTTAGCTGGGGGGTCCCCCACCGTCTTCAGCAGGAAATCAGAGACTGGACGTTAAAACCTAAAGAGACTTAAAATGTGGTTTGAGGGGACTAGGGGCCAGAGCAAGTGGAGGGCCCCCATTCCACACTGACTACAGGCCAACTTGGTCACCTTACCCCTGGGGACTCAGTTTCCCCATCTGTTTACCAGAGCCGCTCCAGCTTCAGTGCTGCCGACCTGGGAAGAGCGACGCTCTTTGGCTTAGGAAAGAGGGGAGCCTAGTAACAGTCTCTCCTTGGAGAGGGGGCGGCTGTTGAGTGAGCTGTGCAGCTGCTGGGTGCCACCAGGGCCGGCCACTCAGCCTGCTGATTAAAGGTGCAGCTGCTCCACCTGCCCCAGACCCTGTGCGTCCACAGTGTGCTCAGTGATCCTGACGCTCCATCTGCCTCCCAGCTCTGGAGGATGAAGGTCCCCGACAGCACCACGCAGTCCCCGCTGCCAAGACTTCTTCCCATCAGTAGGGATCAGGGCCAGTGTGGAGGTGGGACAGGGCAGGGGTGGAATGTTCATGGCAATAGAGACCCTGGGGTCTGCACAGAGCAGGGTTGAACAGAAAGACCTGAGTTGGGCTGGGGCTGCTGGTGGCCCAAGTTGGAACGGGAACAAATGCTCTAACCCTGTCCTTCCACCCTCCCTAGCAGGCCAGCCGAGAGCAACCCTGCTGCCCACATCCAATGGTAGTGGGCCAGGCCAGGAGTGGGAAGGCCACTGGCCAGAGATCCCAGAGAAGTCACCGTGCGTGGTTGGTGTCATTCCTGTCATCTACTACAGTGTTCTGCTGAGCTTGGGGCTGCCTGGTGAGTGGGGACTGGGGCTGGGGTCTTAGACATGGCCAGAAATTGGGGTCCTCCTTCAATGGGAGCCAGTCCTCTGTGCTGGCCCCTGAGACCCAGGATCATAGATCACAGGTCTCCACCTGCCTTTGTCGGGGGGCGGGGGGCGGGGTTCTGGGTCACCTGGGAGCAAGGCATAGAAGGGAGGGAAAGTGAGGGGCAGGGACTCCGCATGCGCAAAGCTGACCCTCTCGGAGGGACTGCATCCTTTCCTAGAGGCAGTGTGTGCATGGGGTGGGGGCTGCACAGAGCACAGGGCAGGTGGTCTTGCCTGGGGGATTCCCCAAGCCTGGTAAGTTAACCACACCTTGTCTGGGGACGCCTCTGCCCCAGAGGACACAGAATCCCTGAAAAGGACGTGGCGGGGGGAATTCCACAGGACCACAGGTGGCCACCTGCCTGGGTGTTCACCCACGTGTTCCCCGGTGGTCCGTGGCCTGGGGTGTGGAAGGACAGGGAAGGGCTGACAAAGTGCAGTTTTTGTTTTGATTTCTCAGTGCTGGGGCTGGGACCCGGGACCTCGGGGGGCATGCTAGGCGGGAGCTCTCCCATGGAGCTACATCCCTGGCTGGCAAAGTGGGTTTGGGGAAGGATCTAGAAAGACACGAGAAGCCAGAACTGGCCGCAGCCCTGGCAGGTGGGGAGGGATGGTGAAACCCTCGGGAAAGCAGACTCTGAGCTTCCTTCCCCTCTACCACCGCTGGTCCCTCTCTCCGTGACCTTGCATTCCGCGAACTCACCTGCCACGACCTCAACTGCCATCAGCCAACCTCCTGACCTCAGTGGCCCTGGCCCGCCTCGCCGCCAAGACCAGGAAGCCCTCCTACTACTACCTCCTGGCGCTCACGGGCTCCGACATCACCACCCAGGTGGTCATCGTGTTCGTGGGCTTCCTCCTGCAGGGCGCGCTCCTGGCCCGCCAGGTACCCCAGGCCGTGGTGCGCGTGGCTAACGTCCTGGAGTTTGCCGCCAACCATGCCTCAGTCTGGGTCACCGTCCTGCTGACCGTTGACCGCTACAACGCCCTGTGCCACCCCTTGCGCCACCGGGCCACCTCGTCCCCAGGCAGGACCCGCAGGGCTATTGCTGCTGTCCTCAGCGCCGCCCTGCTGACTGGCATCCCCTTCTACTGGTGGCTGGATGTGTGGAGGGACACGGGCCCCCCTGGCACGCTGGACGAGGTCCTCAAGTGGGCCCACTGCCTCATCGTCTTCTTCATCCCTTGCAGCGTTTTCCTGGTCAGCAACTCAGCCATCGTCCTCCAGCTGCGGAAGAGGGGACGGAGCGGGCTGCGGCCCTGGGTGGGCAAGAGCACAGCCATCCTCCTGGGGGTCACCTTGCTCTTTGCCCTTCTGTGGGCACCCCGAATCTTCGTCATGCTCTACCACCTGTATGTGGCCCCCGTCCACCGGGACTGGAGGGTCCACCTGGCCCTGGATGTGGCCAACATGGTGGCCATGCTCAACACAGCAGTCAACTTTGGCCTCTACTGCTTTGTCAGCAAGACTTTCCGGGCCACTGTCCAGCAGGTCATCCATGATGCCCACCTGCCCTGCACCCTGGGGTCACAGCCAGAGGGCATGGTGGGGGAGCCTGTGCTGAGGCCCCCAGAACCCCCCAAAGGGGCGGGGTTGTAGAGGAAGGTGTGAGTCGTCTCCTGGCCTGTCCCCTTCCTGGGGCCGGCCTCCCAAGTTTCCTGAACTGAGATTCTCACGCTCCCATTGCCAACACCGGGTTTGAGAAGGAAGACAATCTGCAGGATTCCAGGCCTTTCCAGCCTGGGGGAGCCAAACGTGTTTGACTGAGCAATGGGTGGGGGGAGCTACTTGGGAGAGAGAAGTCCCCAGGGCATGCTGAAGGGGGTGGTCTTAAAGCGTACTGGATGCCCCCAGACCATCTCAGCCATCCCTGGGGCACAAGCCTCTAGGTATTAAACACCCTGCTTTGATTCTGCATTACTCCATGCTGGGAGCCAGATCAGACTCGGGGCCCAGAGTGGACTCTGGGGCTGAGGTTTTTGTTATTGCCATTGAGAGAGGAGTAGCCTCTCCGCCCTGGGCTCCAGGAGGTCAGGAAGGAGGCACTTAGCTGGAGGTACCCTGCCCCCCCCCAGAGCCCACTCCTCTATGGGAAGGTCCTACCTCCAGCAAAGGCAGGAAGGAGGTGGCTGACCTCATGGGCTGGGAGGGGCTCTGCCTGGCCCTGGCCCGGCCTCTGAGCTGCGAGCCTGGGAAGGCAGCTGGGAGAGCAGGAGAGCGGGAGGGAGAGCATGGCAGATGGAACTCCCACCTGCCCCGAGCCTTGGGTAAACACATTAGCCGGCTCAGCTGCGCCCCTTTCTGCTTCCCGGTCAGCCTGAGCTGACCTTTCCCCTGAACGGGAGGTTCAGACCCAGCCTCAAGCCCGCCCAGCCCTCAGCGGGTGACCCGGGGCGAGAGAGCTGATGTGCTCCGGGCCCACGACTGGTGCAGAATGAATGTTCAGCTTCCCGCCTCCCTGTCTGCTTCTCCCCGGAGCAGGGACATCCAGAAAGGGAGTTAGGGCCACAACCGGAAAAAAGGTGGGCAGGTGCCCAGTCCCTTAGCCAACATACTCAGCTCCAAAAAGCTCTGAAAACCGAGATGTCATTCCCAAGAGTGCCACAAACACATAGTGACCTGACCTCAACTGGTGAGACCATCTCTGGTCTTGGTGTAGTCCTGGCCCGTGAAGACGGGTAGGAGTAGGCAGGGTAGGCTGCTAGGGGCTATGTAGACAGGCAAGACCGCCGGGGTGGGGGTGCCTCGGCCACGGTGCCCGTGTTCCTGTCTCCGCATTGACTTGTCTATCATTACCCGTTGTTAGCATTTAGGGATGGTTATCTGTCACGTGTCTCTCAATTCTTCCCGAGCCTATATATGATTTTTGCTGGTTTTGCTTGAAGAATTATTTTCTGGACTCCATGCATGTTCATTTCCTATGTGTGTGTGTGTGTGTGTGTGTGTGAGTATGCGTGGTGCTGGGTGTCACATTCTACCACTGAGCTACCCCCCCAGCCCTTTTTATTTTGAGGCAGGATCTTGGTAAGTTGCCACGGCTGGCTTTGAACTGTGATCCTTCAGCCTTGCCCTCCCAGCAGCTGGGATTACAGGTGCGCACCACAGCGCCCAGCTGCGAGTCAGCTTTCTCGGCTTCTGTAAGGAAGACCTACAGACTGGGTGGCTTAAACAATACAAATGCATTTTCTCACAGGTCTGGGGGACAGAAGTCTAAGATGAAGGTATGAACGGGCCAGGTTCCTCCGTTCTCCTTGGCTTGCCTGCAGTGGGCCGCCTTGTCACTGCGTCCTCATTGGGTTTTTCCTCTGTGCACCCAGACCCCTGGCGTCTCTCTGTGTGTCCTAATCTCTTCTTATAAGGACACCAGTCAGCTGGGTTAGGTGGTGCACACCTGTAACCCCAGCAGCTTGGGAAGCTGAGGCAGGAGGACTGCAAGTTTAAGGTCAGCCTCAGCAACTTACTAAGGCCCTAAGCAACTTAGGGAGACTCTGTCTCAAAGTAAAAAGGGCCAGGGATGTGGCTATGCGGGGATGTGGTAAAGCACCCCTGGGTTCAATCCCCAGTACATGCTGGATTAGCTCTAACCTAATAGCTTTGTTTTAACTTAACTACCTCTCAGGGGGACTATCACCTAATACTGTCACATTTTGAGATACGGTCACCGAGAGTTAGGCCTTCAACATATGAATGGGGACCCACCCCCGCTATCCATAACGCTATGGTTATTTTTGCCTGTGTATCAGTCTGTGATGAAAGGAACCTTCCCGTAGCTTTCCACGGACTGTCCCTAGCCTTCCTCTTCTCCCTGGTTGGTGTCCAGGGATTCGAAGGCAGTCTTGGGTCTTTAAACCTGATTTCTCCTTTCTTCACGAATGCTTCAAAGCCCTTGAAGGTTTGGAAGACCTCAATGAAGCATCTGAGAGTGGTTCTTTTCTTAGTCACTTGCCAGAGGCTAATATAGATCTTAAATTCCACTCTGAGAGTGTTTTTTTTTTTTTTTCTTCCTATCTTCCTCCCCACCTCTCTGTCTTTCTAACAGACAGGGTCTTACTATGTTGCTGGAGCTGGCCTCGAACTCCTGGGCTCCAGCGATCCTCCTGCCTTGGACTTCCAAGTAGCTGGACTTAGTCGCGGCTGGGTTGCCAACCCCCGTTTCCCGCTACCGTTCTTACTTACTCTCAGGCTCGCCAGAGCTTCTGGGTTCTCTTTGTTGCTCCCACCTCCAGCAGTGTTCCTCGTTCTGGGCTGGATTCCGTGATGACAGAGTCCCCTGGGTCACTGTCACAGCCTTCCTCCGAGCAGACTTCTTTTGTTCCTTGGAATGAACGTCAAGATACCCAGCCTGCTTACACATGATGTTCTCACTCCCCCTGCCCTAGGTGTAGCCTCTCCCCCTCTCAATTCCCACTCAGTTTTTCCCCTGAGGGCCCCCTACTACTCTTCCCCCTTCCAAAGTTTTTATTTTTTGGCCTCTATTAGTCTGTTTTCTGCTGTTATAACAAAATACTGGGAGACTGGGAGATTTATAAAGAACAGAGGTTTATTTGGCTTACATTCCTGGAGAGCATCTGCTCCGCACCTGGTGAGGGCCACGTGCTGCATCATGACAATGTGGAGGGCACCTGTGGCAGAACAGGACAAGTGTACCAGCTCAGGTCTCTCTTCCTCTTGCCTGCACCCAGGCAATGGCCCACCCATGGCAGGGGCGAGACGGGAACAGGGAGACAGGCTTCTGGAGAGACCTTGCCAAGTCTCTTCAGCACCCCTGGCCCAGGGAAGTAGTTCCCAGAAAACTAGTTTCTATATGGGACACTGAGCCCCTTGGTCAGCCAGGCTGTGGATCCCCTGGGACAGTCTTTGGACTGGAGTCTAGGAAACCTTGCCACCACCCCAGCCTGCCCTGACCTCCTCAGTGAGAGAGGCTCAAGCCCTCACTAGGTCCTGAGCCCAACTCCAGCGGCTCGGACAGCAGGGGGCACTGCAGGACCGCTGGCTGGACAATGGGTAGGAGCAGGAGGACCTTTAAACCAGCTGCTCCTGCCAGGGGCCCCATGCACAGCTGGAGGTCACTGAGTGGGAGGGCTCAGCTGTTCCCCAGGCCATCTCCAACCTGAAGCCACGTCCCCCATGCTGGGTTTGGCCAGCCCAGAGGGCCGCAGGTCCTGCAATTTCCCTACACCACTCTGGTGGTTTCCTGTGCAAGGCAAGTTATGAAGGGCCCTTTCATCACCGTCTCTCGGCCCCTCCATCTGCAGGGTCTTGCCAGACCCTCCTGCTGGCCTCAGATCTGCTGGCCTGCCCTCCCCACCGGGGAGCTCTGCCACCTGGGTTTAGTCAGCTTGCCCCTCCAGTCCAGTTCCACTAGGACCCCCCACCCCACCCCAGGCCAGTGGTCCCTGTACTGGGCAGCTGCTTGGGCATCCTGCCTCCTAGGAGTCTGAACCTTGGCGGTGAGCCCCACCCCCTACCCCTACAGGAGGGAAAGGGGCCAGGGAGGTGAGGAGGGAGGGAGACTGCCAAAGCCCACGGTGAGTCATGAGCAGAGGTGGGAAGGGGACCAGCGGGCTCTGTCCCCTGCCTGCCACTGTTGTCCCTGGAGATGCCCCAAGAGCTGCTGAGGTCCTTACTCTTGCCACAGAGCAGGGCAGGAGGATTTTGCCCTCCCGGCCTTCAGGCCCTGTCCCCAGCTAGTGGGGCCTGCTGAGCCTCTGGCCTCCTTGGGCCAGCGAGCTCACCGCCTTGCTGGGAGGCAGGGAGGGGGACCCAGTGCCCGGGGCGGCTGCAGGACGCCTGCCCGGTAGCCTGAGTCCTGCCCTGAGGCCTTCAGCTCCTGTTCAAGAAGCCTGGAGGGGACCCACCCTGGGGAGAAGTGGGCCCCCCTTCCTGTGAGGGTGAGCTGGGGCCTCCTCAGCTTTCTCTGGAGAAGGAGGTCCGATGGCCACTGAGGGCTGTGGGCCCACCTGCCCTCTCTGAGTCCTTCTGGACCTTGGGGGTGGGGAATGAAGGAAGGGTGGTGAGGCCCAGTGTGTCTCCTTCCTCCCCAAACCCCGGCCTGGCATGAAGGGCAGGGTCCCTCCTCTCCCTCCGCTGGGCCTGGGCAGGGGCCTTCGTCTGACCTAGTCCCTTTCCCTCCTGCCCACGCTCTTCCCAGGGCTGCCGGCTGCAAGAGGCCGTCGGTCTGCGGTGGTTCTTTCCCAGAGTCCTCGGGTATATTTAGCAGGCAGGGCAGGGCGGGCGGCAGCCGAGGGAAGCCAGAGCGGCTTCACCACGCCCTCCTCAAGGGGGTGCATGCTCCAGAGCTGGGTGGGTGGGAAGGAGGCCCCTGAGACGCAGGGAAGGGGCTCTCTGTCCCTCTGGAGACGGCTCCCGCTCTCCCTCAGGTGTGTACGCCTCGCTTCACCCAAAGACTTCTCCCCGAGAGAGCGGGCGATTCTCCTTGACCGTGGGTCTGATTTCCTAAATAAATCTGTCTCTGGGGGGAAAGAGGCAGAGGGAAGAGGGCAGCGGAACTGAGTTGACAGTAACTGGAGGCTGCTGTGCGGAGAGGACTTCCGGGCCCTGTAGGCAAGGGGTCGCTCTTTATACATAGAAGGACCCTG